GCGTCGTATCGCCATCTTACAAAAGTTCATGGCATTGAGTGTCCTCGAAAGGTTGACCTTGATGTGGTCAAGCTTCAGCCCAACGAGCCCTGTCTCTGGAGGTGCGCATTGTGTCCCTTTGGCATTCGACCGATCGGCAATGTGTCGACAAACCTTTGCGGCGAGCCAAAGAGACTCATCGCGCTGATGCTCATCCGGAGATTCCTGCAGGCAAATGGCGTACCTTGACTGCGGCAAGGAGCAGAAATAAGGTCACTGCCATGCGTGTGTTCAACTTGAACTCAATGTTGAGCCTTTGTTTGATGAGGCCAAGAAGGTGATGGAGCAAAGGAGAAGTTCGTGATCCGTTTTGCCACTGCCACTCTCAACTGTGGACGAGGCGCCATCCACAAGGGTGGTGCCATTGCGCGTCTCATTGAAGATTGTACAGTCGTCGCCCTTCAAGAGATTGATGTGAACATTCATTCTGCGGAGTCCTTTGTACAATTTTGGGCTTCTTTGAATTGGCATTGTGTTTTAGGAGGTCTTCACGATGGACGCATGCACAGAATATGTGTTCTGGCGAGACTTCCGCTTCGCAGGGTACAGCTTGAGCCTGCGCATGGTTTTGATGATAGAATACTGGCTTGCCATCTGGGCTCCCACGATCCTATCATGTTTTCTTGCATTTATGGGCATGCTACTGACGAGGAGCTTGCGCATGCCACGGCCACTGCTGAAGTTCGAGGACTTCAGTCTTCTGGGCGTCCATGGCTCCTCATGGGTGACTTCAATTTACAGCCGTGCGGCCTGGAGAACTTGTGGACGAGAGGCTGCAGGGCTTTGGACGACGCGTTTGATGATCTCCCTGGCACATCTCGTTCGGGGCGGCGCATCGATTTTGGTGTTGCAGGAGGGCTCGTTGCTATAGCTCTCCATCATGATGTTGGCGTAGCAGATCATTCGTCGGTTTGCTACGACGTGGACCTTGAGTACACCTCCTACATGTTTGCAAGCCCTTCACGGGCTCCTCAAAGGCGACTTAAGGAAGAGGTGCAGGCCCTCTTTGCCTTGAATTGGCACGCTGAGCAGTTTGAGGCGTTGTTGGTGAGCCGGGATGTGGATGCTGCTTGGTCACTCCTCTCGGATATTGCAGAGAGATCCATATTCACTGATGTGGATCGCGGCGCCTTTCGCTCCGAGGCATGGTCACTGAGGCGATTTGAGATGGGCCATCGCAAGCCACACATTGATGAGCCTGTTGCCCTCCGTAGATTGCGTAGGTTCCTACGACGACTAAGTGACGACGACTAAGTGAATGCACGCGACGAGCTCCTGATGAAGGCCTCAGGCGTGCATTGGAACGCAGTGGGCGTGGTCTTTGTCCCCAGGTCCCTGATTTGGATGCAGTGCCTTTTGGTGATTTGGATGCTGCCAGACCCGTCATTGTAGCTGCAATCCAGGCCATGGAAACCCAATTACGTGCCTGCCGTCTACAAAGTTGGAAATTATCCATGACTGAGGATGCCGCCCAGCGCCGCAGGTGGGTGAAGTCTCGGGCTACAACTTCTGCTTCCATCGCACAGTCCTTTGCCCGGCCTGTTCAAGTGCGTGATACTCACCACTCCATTCATCCTCGTGAGATTCTCACCTCAGCGAGGGACAAGTGGTCTGAGATATGGCGAGCTGTGCCCACTGATGAGGGGACCTTTGACACCATACTCGCGGGTTTAACAAGACCCAGCCACTTTGACGGCGAGGTAGGTCCGTGCTGAGGAAGCCATCCGCGCTGCTCGGTAGATGGTCCAGAAGAGTGGCGGGCCTGATGGGTGGGAAGTGCGTGACGTACTTCTACTTCCTGAAGCGTGGTGGCTCGCACACAGTCACTTGTGGAGTGTTGTGATTAATACTGGAAGTGTTCCAGAAAGGTGGTGTGAGGCGCGGGTCGCCTTATTGGACAAGCTAGACAACGAGTATCGTCCCTTGAGCATAGCGTCGATTGGGTGGAGAATTGGAGCCAAGGTGCTGGTCTGAGCTCTACGTGGTTGGGCTAGTCATTGGCTTGACGAGACTACTTTAGGCGGTGTACGTCATGGATGCACGCAAGATGTCCACATGTTGTTGAGACACGAAGCTCATGCAGGTACCTTTACCTCCCAAGACCTCAGTAAGTTCTTCGATACGGTGCCTCATGGCTTGTTGTCCAAGCTCCTGAAGTGGTTTCGTGCGCCGTCTCAAATGGATGCTATCCTCAAGGGTTTCCATGCCACATGCCGGCGCGTCATCTCTTACAGAGGGATGCTGGATACAGAGTTCATTTCACACACAGGACGTGGACTACTACAAGGTTGTCCATTCTCGCCTTTGTGCGCAGCATTGTTCATGTGGTGTTGGAGTCACTTCGTTCGTGATGCTCATGTCAGTTTGCGAGCAGTCAGCTTTGTTGATGACAGAAGCTTTTGGTGTAAAGTTGCCGGGGACCGTGCTGAGACCATTGCATGGCTGCTTGAGGCTAAGAGGCGCAGTGACGCGTTTGATGGGTGCTGTGGATTTGAGTGTCGTCCTTCGAAGTGCCATGTTGCATCGGCGGATGTTGACCTGGCTTTCACGGTGGGCCAGGCCATGGGCTACTCAGCCAGCAATTTCCTCGAGCTACTTGGTGTGGGCATTGATCTCACCAGCGGTGTGTGCAAATTACAGTCTGTGTCAAGGGAAGCTCTCAAGGCCAGACTTCGAGCCATTGCGTGTCTTCATTGCAACCCTCTGGACCGCGCGCAGTTGATCAGGAACCTGGTCATCACTTCGTTGACTTGGACTGCGGGCATTGCAGTGTTGGGGGAGGATGAGCTTGTGCAGTTTCGTGGAGAGGTCTTGTCTGCTTTCAATCCCAAGGCACGCGTGGACGTCCCTCCAGTTGTCAGTCTTGAGCTACTTGGATGGTGCAGTGATCCTGTGTGTGCATCATGGCGCGTGGCACTGAAAGCGGCTCATCGTTTCCATGCTTTCGGGAGGCGATGGATGGAATTTGTTGGACTGGATGTGGGCATTGAGAACTGGACACGCCTCCTTCCTCCTGCCCCTGAGGTCTTACAGCAGCTGGGGTGGTGGACCACGCATGAGGGCCAGTTTATCTCTCGACGTGATGCTGATTTGGTTGTCAGGTCCTTTGAAGTAGGAGTGGGCAATTTCAAGGTGCTTCAGGACTGGCTGTTCGACTTCTTCCGCCAACGTGCTCTTCGGAAGTGCACCCGCGTCACCAGGTCTCATCACAGACATGAGGAGGAAGGCCTCGCGCAAGGAGATGATTTGGGTGCCCCTGCTGGGGGTTCACTTTGTCTTTTTGAGGGCCACAAGAGGGTCATGGCTGCTGCCTCAAATAAGTTTGAGCAGAACGTTGCACTTGTTACTGGTTTGTGGCATCAGTTTCGCCGTCTTGCTCGTGGAGACCCTAAAGAGCAGTGCCTGTGTGGTGGGAGGCTGCCATCTAGACTTTACTTGTGGTGGAGCTGCCCTGCTACGGGCGAGTTTAGGACTGGCATCAGAAGCCCGGCTGACAGGTGTGAAGAGCGACTTGGAGCAGTTCCTCTTGCTGAGTGCCCTGCTCCACCTCCTTGCATTTGGCCTGAGGATATTCATAGTTCTCTTTGCGCTGCGCTGCGTCGTGCTGACGATGGCAGTGGATTGCTCGGTGTGGCAACGGACGGGTCTTCTGAGCATGGAGTGGCAGCTTTTGCCGTAATCGTGCCAGCAGCTGAGTTTGAGCTCCCTGTGCCGCTTCCTGGTCAGGATCAGACGCCTTATCGGGCGGAGTTTGAGGCTGTTTTGCTGGTGTGCAAGTGCTTGATTGAAGTTCTGCGTGGTGGTGCTTTGGTTACTGTACGTAAGATCGTCATCGTTTTGGACTGCTTGAGTGTTGTCAGCGCTGCGAGTGGGCATTGCCAAGCTTCACCTCTTCTGGCCCAACGCTTTGCAAACATGTTACGTGAGATCAGGCATTCGTGTGAGTTTGATTTGGCCTTTGTGCCCAGCCATGGTAAACAATCCAATGCATGTGTGCCACATCCGCAGATCGGTGAGGCCGTGATGAGAGCTTGGAATCATCGTGCGGACGCTGTTGCTGGCTGTGCACTCCGTGCTAGACTTCAAGGTTCTAGACGTTCCTCATGGTGGAGAAGCAGGCAGCGTGTTGCCGATTGGGAGGTGCAAGCCCTTGGTGCGTTGAATGCCATCGAGGTTACGTATCGCGAGTTTGCGGCACGCCTGTGAGTGGATAGGGGCCTCCAGGATGTGAAGTTCTCTTCGCGCATCCTGTGGTCCGTCAAAAACCTTTCAAGAAGCTGAAGAGCACTACCAAGGCATACATTTTGGGATAAGGGGTTGGTGTTTGGGTGTGGATATTCGATTTTAGGGTTTTGGCATCGGACATGGGGGTCTAGGAGGTGCAGCATAAATTTCAGGATTCGAGACTAAGATTTGCGGGTTTAGTGATTGTGCTTTGGGTTTGGAGATTCGATTGTACTGGTAGAGGTCAGGATGAAACATGTTGGCTTTTGTAAGTTGTTTGCTTAGTTTTGGAGTCAAGATTTTGCGGATGTTTTCGGTGTAAGGGTAGGCGAGGCTTAGATGTTTTGTTGTGGTTTGGAGTGTCGGGTGCAGGGTGGTCTTGGAGTCAGAATCAGGAGCGACACGGGAATCACGGGAGTTAGGTCCTGTTTCGATTAGAGCTTGGTGTACTTAGGTCAAGACTTCGGGTTCAACAGAGGCTAACATGTCATCCTTAAGCTATGCCCTGTCTACCGCACATGTAGCCCACAGCCCCCCAAATTTTAAAGACACCCATGTGGACAGAAGGGCCCGCCCCAGCTGCTTTTCCGCTCGATGTCAAGAAAGATCGCTCGACTTCAAAACCTACTGAGAGGCATCCTTATCAATCCCAAAGGCAGTTGTTGTGCAACATCTCTTGCATTTGTGACAACATCTCTTGCATGTTCCACCGTTCCTTGTGTTCTGCTGGTGCTCAGGAGGGCCTCGACATTGAGGACGAGGATGAGAAGTGTCTTGGCGAGGGATTTGTATGGTCTCTTTTGGTGCCGCTCGTGTGTATCGTCAATGTCATCTTTGGTGCAGACTTGTGCATTCCACATCAAACTATATCAA